GATATGTTGTTTAACTTTTGACCTCAAGTGGACAATGCGTAATTGAGTGATGTAATTTACTTCAAAATACTTTTTATCCAGTTATTTTTATTAAGAGAAATATTTTTACTTTATTTGATAAAATGAAAGATCTAAACAATGTATTCAATCCAAATTTATGAGAAATTAATGATGTTGATCAAGTAGTAGGTTTGCATTTAAAGTTCACGTTGATGTTTATTTATATCAAATGGCACCTTTTTATGTTAATTACCATCAGCCCTTTAGTTGGCTTCGGGCTTCACAGAGGGGAAAGAAACATCAAAAACACAAAAATTCGAGAGGAGGAACAGATATAAAAGAGACAGACATGAAGGTAGAAAAAAGTTGGGGTGAGCACTGTGGAAGTAGTCGAATATGATGGTAGCTTGAAGTCAGAAGTCAACTGCCAGTTAATAGACTTTTTTGCCTTATAAGTATACGTTTCCCAGGATGCACCACGTGGAGATATGTCTATTCCTGACGTATTACCTATTAAAATTTCTTTTCAATGTTAAAACGAAAATTCTTCGCTCATGCATGAAAACTGATAAGCACTATCAATTTTTGCATTGTTACGGCGTTGAAATAAATTATCAGTGAAATACATCAATTAGATATTATAATTTAATTGTGTACTCCTATAAAAAACGATTCATACATTTAATGTATATCCTAGGATCGGTGGATGGAACCCACGAGTTCTGAATCTTCACAATCTCTTTCATCTGGGTGATATGTTGATTTCTATTAATGGTTATGAAGTGTACACCCTTCGACAATTTAAGAAGACGGTTGATGTTGCTAAACGAAATGCCGCACAAGAGCGTCAGCGTACACCAGACGCAGCCTTTAATTCATCCTCTGAGGTCAAGCTTTGGCTTCGATTGCGAAGGCTTCCACTCGCAAAGACCCTCATAGTTTGCCGACAATTCCGAGATCAGAAGATTGGAATATCTTTCGATGACAAGGGCACTAACAAGGTAAGTTAATTTTGCGTTTATTTTTTTTGGCAATCTAGATACTGGAAATTCTTGTTTTGTTCTGCCTTGTTTACTTTAAACGCGACCGATTGAATTTGGGTGGTAAATTTGCAACAACGATTTCAACTATGTATTTTCAATGGGGTTTCCCTTCTAGACGAATGGAAATCAATTCATAACTAATTAACCACCGTTATGATTTAGTCTGGTTTTCTTCTTCTTCTTTAATCTTATACTTTAATGATATTTATAATCGCGTTAATTAACATCTAGGCTAATTGAATTAGTGTAAAGCCTTTTGAGTGAAAAAAAACGCATTAAGTAGTACATTTAAATTAGGAATAAACGAGATGACCTTCTCAACTTAAGGGGGGGGAATACTTTTATTGTAAATTTTGAAGCTCAATCGATGAAAATGGCCCTCGTTTATGGACAAAATGACTTCTTTCCTAGAACAATAGTTTCCCGAGCCTTCAACAATTTTGCATTAATGGGCTATTTTGCTGCATTTTCTAAAGAAAAAATTAACAAACTTATCTTGTGTTTGCATCTGACTTTTTCAGATTTGGTTTGTTCGCGAGTATTGGCGCATTCCCGTAATTGAGTTCTGAGCTTAATATAATACTTTGCTCCTCTAAAAAGGGTTTCTTTTGAATCGGCTCTCGCAGGAAGTTTAGATGGAGAAGAAGCCGTTTCTATTAGGAAAGAGATGATTGCACTTGACCCAAAATATCAATTTTTATCCCCTGTTAAGCTTGCCTTTTCATTAATTTGATTCCTATTTATTTATATCAAATGGCAGGCGTTTTGATATTTATCGTTAGCCGCCCTTTAGTTGATTTCAAATTGAAAAAAAGTCGGGGGGGGGGAGGGGAACAGAAAAGTGTTTCAAAGATGTAAAAGAGACAGACTCAAAGGTAGAAAAAAGGTGAGGTGAGTGCTGTGGAATTAGTCGAATATGACATACAGTGGGGTTCATGGTAGTTTGAAGACAGAAGTCAACTGCCAGTTAATAAACTTTTTTGCCGAATGAGTATACGTTCCCCAGAGTGCACCACGTGGAGTTAAGTCTTTTCGCGCACCCCATAACAGGTGAGTAAATCAGTTCAAGCATCTACTAAATTCATTGACCTTTCAAGTCGCTCCAAATCTTCAAAGTTTTGCTCTTTGTAAAATTCACACTGGGTTAGTTCACAGTTAGCTTATAGACATAGCCCGATAAATTTACGTTTTGAAGAAAAATGGGGAAAATTATGTGTATTTTCTGTTTGACATCACATTCTAATAATTTTCAAAATTTTTAAGTAATTTGTCACCTTTAAATTTCACTCGTCATAATCGAATTTATTAGCATAAACTGAAACTTTAGTAAATGAAAAAAAATACATCATCTCCTTCAATTTCCCATCACTTATCAAAATCGTTTTTAAAGTGTCAATGAATGGCTGTCAAAAATTTTCACAGGCACCACTCGTAAAGAATCACATTCGGGGGGTGGGGCAGTACTATTGATTCCATATGTGCCAATCAGCCAAAAAAATGGATTTTAGGCATATTGGCACGATTTTCGCTTCTTTGTGAGGTGACGAGAATGTTACAGCTACTTCATCTTAAAGTGCAGGGTATTCAAATGGACTTACAAGGTCAGGTGGTTAATTATACACACCCTAAGCCAAGTGGGAGAGAGAGAAGCACAAAAGGTTCTGGCTTTAGTTCTTTTTCCTCCATAAACAGTGCAAGTGCGCTTGTAGTTGCACGAATATGTGCTTTGGTTGTAAGGTGCTTATCAACTCCGGACATCTGTTGGCCAACTAGAACAGATCAATGAACCTCCAATTTAGGCTATATCAATTTTGCCTAATTTACCACTTACATGGAATTAGACATTAAGCGAGTAACAATAGCATGAAATTTATCTAGTCTTTTGAAAGTAGAATAAACAAATATTAGTAGAATGGTAATGTGTGATGGTAAAGTGTGGATTAAAAATACTCGAATCGAAAATTTATTGAACGCCACAAAACCGAAAACGTATGAAGTGATCTCCTTTTTTTTGTCACCTCAATCTCGTCGTTTGGGGAAAAAAACATTTCCCATTTTTCATGAAATCACTTACCTCTCTTTGTAATCCTTGTATCCGATCTAACATTGTCTCACCAACGTCACCAATACTCCGTTTATTACCCTTTCTCATAAATTATGTTTCACTGAAGTTTAGTAAGTAGCAGAAAAGAACAAGTTGTGTGTAGGCCTACGAATCAAGAAAATTTAGAAATATTGGATAAATGTTTACAGAATTATATTCACCCATTTCTTCTGTTCGAGTTATTTTTATTGGGCCTCTAGCATGTGTTGCATGACTAAGCTATCAGATTAATCTCATCATTTTTGTCGCTAATCAGAAATAGTTTTCAGGGTTTTGATAAGTATTTAAAAATTAATCAAACTTTTGTGGCTTTCCTTTCTGCTTCAACCATGATTTAATTTTTTTAAAAAATTAATATCAACGCCCTCCCTTCGTTTAGGTAATCTCTTAAACTCATTTTATTGCAATGGCTATGTAGCTGTTCTTTTGAACATCTGGTTTTGTTTGAATCGACGTTACCAGCGGGAAAGCTCTTTTGGCTGTCTATTACGTCATAATTATATAAATTTAAATTAGATAGGAATTAGTCAATTTGTCTCGGGCGATAAAATTAAATTTACTGAAATTCATACATCAACTACACTCTTATGCGATCTGATTAAAAATAAAAGATAAAATATCAATTTTAGGAAATGAAGTGGTGGGTGGAATTTGAGATTTTTATTACGAAATTGAGTAGGTTTCTCTTATGCTCAAGATGTTTTTTGGTGATTTGGTTTAGAACTATGGTTATCCAATTGAGAATGCTTGCACTCAGAGTTGAGGTGGTCTATGGTTCCTTATTTTAGGATTGGATGATAGCCACCATCCCATTTTCCTGACTGCAGAGTGGCCAGGTGGTGAAATCAAGCACACAGATTACTACACCTCGTCAATTCCATGGGCCTAAATTTCTGGTCCAGTGTGTGTGTGTGTGTGTGTGTGTGTGTGTGATTCACAATGGAGAAAAATTTTCGCAAAAGAAGTGAAGTTTTTTAGGGGCACTCCGTTTTTACTCTTTCTAATTGCATTAAAATGAATATGTGCCATAAGGCGGATTATTCTAAATGCTAAAAAAACAATCAGGGACATGTAGTTCACTTCTAAAATTGAAATTGCCATCGATAAAGGCTCTTATAAAGCCATTGTGGATACATTTTTTGAACCCATCCTTCTAATATTTATTTATTTCAAATGGCAGGCGTTTTGATAATTATCGGTAGCCCATTATCAGACTTCGGGGCTTTACAGAGGGGAGGAGCATCATAGTGAGAAAAATACGAGAGAGGGGAAAGAAGAGTGATCCACAGATGCAAAGAGACAGATGGACACAAACGCAGTGAAAAGGTAAGATGAGTACGGTGAGTGGTGGGATATGAAGATGAGATGAGATGTCAACGCAAAAATTGCTTATCGCAAACCCAAAGATGAACCTCCTTTGGCCAGTAGATGGGTTCAACAAGAATTATGTGGAAAATAGCGAACTACAAAATAATAGACGAAAGGTGTGACAAGTCTGTTCAAAAGTCAATTTGGCATATAAGTTGACCTGAGATAACGTGGGATTTTCCTAGTGGCCTGACTGTCATTCCCTCTTAAAGGCAAACACACCACTTGCAAGTGAAATCATCTCTAGTGAGGTCGAATCTTCTTACATAGTTGGATGTTTCTAGATAATTAAAAGTTCGGAGATTTGTAAATCAGCAAGGCATGTATGAAAATCTTCTTGAGAAAATCCCCCATTCACTATTAGCAAGGTTGCTTCTGCTAATTGCAGAAATCACCTAAATGTTGCTTTCAACTTCCTCATCGTAAAATTATTAATGTTTACTGATTTTTGCATTAATTTCCGCGTAATTAAATTTGTGGTTGAACAGTGCCTTGGTCATTAGCTATTTTTCCTGTAAGTTTACATGCCAATATTACCTAGTCGACGTAAATATGAAATGTTACCCAAAGGAGGTAAGGGACAGATACATTTGTAATGTTCAAATGTCATTTGTGATCTTCAGCTAACTTAGCTCGTTTAATCTGGGCATTCGTTGTTTTGACCCTGTATCAGGTGAAGAGGATAGATCCCAATGGACCTTTGGCTTGCGCAGGCCTACTCCCCCTTGCTCAACCCTTCATGAGGAAGTCGTCGGCTAAATCGACGCTTCGTTCTCTAACTACAAAGCAGACAATGCCTGAACCAGAACTAGTACCCTGGACTGTTACGGAAATCAACCACAGGCTTCTCGATCCACTCTTTAGGAAACACGAGGTAAAGCTCTATTCTATTCTAATCATCTTGGGATCAGCATTAATACATTATTATAATTATTATTTCAAATGGCAGGCTTTATGATATTTATCATTATTATTATATCAAGTGGCAGGCGTCTTGATGTTTATCATTAGCCCTTTAGTTGACTTCAGGCTTCACAGAGAGGAGGAGGAACATCAAAGTGAAAAAAGACAATAGGGGAAGGGGAACAGAAGAGTGCTTCAAAGATGTAAAAGAGACAGACACAAAGGTAGGGAGAAAAGGTGAGGTGAGTACCATGAAAGTAGTCGAATATGACATACAGTGGGGTCATGGTAGTTTGAAGTGAGAAGTCAATTGCCAGTTAATAGACTTTTTTGCCGTATGAGTATACGTTGCCCAGGGTGCACCACGTGGAGGTAAGTCTATCGCACACCCCATGATATTTATCATTATCCCTTAAACTTTGACTTCAGCTTCCCCCAAGGGTGGGGGTTACATATATAGCAGTTCATTAGCTGTCTTCTTGCTTCCCAGTATCTCTGGCTTTCCGTCGTTATCTTTAGTGCTGGGCACCGAATCAGGTGGGTCTTCTCCAATTCCTCTTGTAGGTTACATAGGGGGCATGTGGGTTGAGTGTATACTCTTAGGTTACATAGAGGGCATGTGGGTTGAGTGTATACTCCCAGGCTACATAGGGGGCATGTGGGTTGAGTGTATACTCCCAATCCAGAGGGCATGTGGGTTGAGTGTATACTCCCAGTCTGTGAAAGGGCATATGGGTTGAGTGTATACTCCCAATCTGTGAAGGGGGCATGTGGGTTGAGTGTATACTCCCAATCTGTGAAGGTCAACGGTGTGTAATCACTCAGCTTTATGTCCTCTCCTAGAGGCGAATCTTTCCACGCCCAATGGTTAATGATGTCCGTGATTACTGTCATATTGAAGGATATTATTTCCTCGTCCTTACTTAATTTCTCTCCTTTTGGGGACAGTTTCATTAGAAGACATAAATCTACATTAGCATCAATCTAATGGAATACTGATTCTCTGGCTCACGGAAGGAATATCTTTCTAACATTCATCTTGAGGTAGAGAGTAGGTGTCATTCAATCTCCCCTGGAAGGTTTGAATTATGAAAGCGGTTTTAAGTCAGCATGGACTCTCTCTCCCTCTCGCGGTCTGCTGGTTCGCTACTGGATGTGCACTAGCCGAACACGGCCATGTGATAGGTGGAAGGTAAACTCTACGCTACCAGTGTACAATCAGGCAAATAAACCCACCGAATGTTAATTTCTCAAGCCCCGTTTATTTTAGTGATAGCAACGGCTAGATCGTTTGTATAGAAAACCTCCACCCCACCTACCCCCCCTTGTTGACCTCCCACATTACTGGATGTGGATATACTGCCACAAGAGTCATATCAAACACTTGTTCTGAGCACAGTGAAGACTACCTTCCATTCGTCACTTCATTCCAGTCGCTGTGTGTGCCCACGACCTCTGGCAATGTAGGCATTCTTCCCGACTTCTACATTACTGGCGCAAGATTCAGAGCACTCCAAGACACTTCGCTATACCCGCTTAACGCAATATTTATTTATTTCAAATGGCAGGCGTTATGATAGGTATCATTAACCCTTTAGTTGACTTCAGGCTTCACAGAAAGGAAGATAAACAGTAAAGTGGCAAAACGTCGAGAGGAGGACAGAATAATGATTCACAGACGTAAAAGAGACAGACAGACACAAAGGTAGAAAAAGGTGAGGTGAGTACTGTGAAATTATTCGAATATGAAGCGCAGTGGGGTCTTGGTAGTTTGAAGTCAGAAGTCAACTGCCGAATAATAGACTTTTTTGCCGTATGAGTATACGTTGCCCAGGGTGCACCACGTGGAGGTAAGTCTATCGCACACCCCGCTTAACGCAATATTGAATTAGCATTGCTTACTTTAGTATCTACTTAAAATGCCACTTCAGACGCTAACAAATACTTTAATGCTACAGGCGGATCTTCTAATCGGTGCACGCGGAATGGAGATAAGTGTGACTCTCCAACCCTCCGACTTCATGGAAGCAATTTGCAAGAAACTCAGGAAATCAAAGTTTTATCAATCCTTCTTTAAAAACCCCTAGAAATACTCGAGACTTCCTTGCATACAACCCTCCCATGATTACCCCCACAACTTTCTACTTTTGATAATTGATTGCAAATTTCAAAGTAAGCGAATACAAAAGTCGTCCTTAACTAGCCTTGGTCATAAATAACTGTTACTGGTAGCTCATTGCGTTTATTCATTTTCTAATGTTTTATAACACACATTTTGTAAAAGGAAGGGGGGGGGGGAGCAGGAAAAGAGAAGAAATCGGAATAAAGGGAAGGTTTACATTCACCGTACATATATATATATAAACGTACACATATATTAGATCTCACTCCTGCACACGGGAGAACAAACTCCCAGTTTCCACAAAATAAAACTGGTAGAACGCCAATACGAGAGTAGGTAAGAGAGTGATAAGCTGTGAAAGAATAGATCTCTGGAGAAAAGGAGAAAATCGAAAAAAGACAAATAGAAGACTGTCTGAAATGCAAAGTGGTTGCTGTTAGATCTGTTTGCTTCAACGCAAAAATACTAAACAGAATAGGAGACGTGTGGTTTTAATAAGTTTGTACAAGATGAAAGAATCGATGTTGTTTGTCGTGCTGTAGACGGGGAAGCTTGTAAGCAGCAATTGTGTTTATGAAAATTGTCGTAGAAAAGATGTCACAAGATGTAGACAGGAAAGAAAGATGCTTAGAACTGACCAGTTAAGACTTCATGGAATTAACTGGATCTCCGCCTGTAGTGAGCATAGAGGGACTTGCATTGTTTCCATCGCTGAATTGTTGTGGCTCAATTCCAGCAGCCTTGGCAGCATTCTGCAACTTCTTAATCTCCTTAGTTGCCCAGTGAGCCACAGTACGAGTTTGGGATGACTTTGAACGTCGGCCTAATTGTAGCATATTCTGCAAAGGTGTCACGCTGATATAGGGCAATATATCACCTCCGAATGTTGATACAATATCACTAAAATACAAAACAGCCGTTTAAGGAATTGACAACTGAATAACTAGGGGGTAACTGTGACAAACTCTTACCCGATGAGACCGCAAGAAGAGGAGACAAGTTCATCATTGACAAGAGCTTCATTCCCAATGTGCTCAATAAAGTTGATGATAAAGCTAACGTGAGGAGCAATGAACTGCAAATGAGGATTAGGTTGCCCATTTTCGTTGTCTTTCATGCCCTGAATAATACCAGTGTAAGCTTCCAAGCAACTGCCCCATAAGGAATTCAGATAATCTACCATGTCAGGATCATTCTAAAACAAAATGAGGAGAATAACCACTTATGAATTGTAATGTTGACAAACTTACCAAATCAACTTCAGCCCTAGTAGCCTGTTGAAGAGTTTCCAAGACAACAGGGAGATACTTAACAAAGCCCGGACCAAGTGCAAGTGAGATATCACCAAAGGCTGAGAGAATCGCAGGACGGATTGACTTGTCAGCAGTGGTGCTTTGTAGAACTTCCATTAGAATTTGCACAATGGTATCACAATATGGAGCAATGTTCCGGGTAATTACACGGCAAAGATCGGAAAGAAGACCAATTGCATTGATACACACCTGAGTTTCAGCGCAAGTGTAAAGACATCGATAGAGAATAGGCAAAACCGAGTCAATGTATGGCAAGAAAGCTTCGCCCATGACATCTAGAAGTGAGGAAAGAGCCAAAAGGGCATCTTCTTGGACACCAGAGGAAGTCAAAGATACAGCATCCTTTGAATTTTGAGCTTGGTCACCAGCTCCTCCGTCGGGGTTGTTAGTTTTCGAAGCTAACATTGCCATAAGAGCACTCATGATCTAAAACAAGTAAACGAACCATGTTAGTAGAATTTAAATGATGCAAAGAGTGAGGACAAATGTTTATGTACCGTAGGAGCCAAAGCAAGAGCATCTTCTTTACTGATTTTGGTGAGGACGGACTGAAGAGTGGCACAGAGAAGGGATTGCAGATCGTTGAATTGAGCTCGGTCTTGAGTAGAAACGACCTGCCCCTCTAAACTCATCACATAGTTGAGTCTTTCAAGTATAACAGAAGTAACACGTTTGACATCTTCATAACAATCCTTGGCTGCCGACCTCAATAAAGCCATTAAAGCTGAGTAGGCAGCATTTCTAAGGTTATTTTGAGTTCCATCTGCTCGTTCAGTGATGGCTAGCAGACCGTCAACAATAACCTTGAAGAATGGTGACAATGCGTAAGTCTGAGGTTCCAAACCCTGTTCAGAAACCAAATCAAAAGCACTGTCGGCAAGATTTGAAAACGCCCAGCAGACATTTGATGCAACTCGAGGTTCTGACCTCAAACCATTGACGAGTCCATTGATCAAAGGGCTGAGGTAATCCGGAGCGAGTGCAATCTCAGGAAGAATCTCACAGACCCGGCCAAGAGTCCACGCTGTAGAATCCCGTACAGCTGGAGACTGGTCAGAAAGCATGTTCATGATAACTGGCATAGCTGAAACAACCAATGGCTTAAGAGCATCTGGATTCGGACCCTCTAGGATGCTGCCAAAGCTCATTACAGCGGCGTCCCTAAACTTCCAGTTGGGACTTTGAATGTGTTCCCTAACAAATGGAACAACAATATCCACAATTGCATCTTCACAAGCTTGTGCGAGGAGCATGATGCAGACTCCTGATGCTTTACTCGGATTCCATTCATCGTCATCATCTCCCTCATCCTGCTTTGTTAGAATCTCCATTAAAATAGGAACAATAAAATGGAGAGCTCCTCTAGCATAGAATTTACACGCAACGGTGGGAGGAATTCCCTTTTCGGCACATTCAGCGGCATCTATAGCTAATTCAAGCTCCTCATCACTGACAGTTGACCAGAACTCTATACCTTGTAGTGCAACTTCGGGGATATCCGATTTCATTGCACCTAACGTGATCTGAGAAAGGAAAAATTACTAATCATAGCTACAAACTTACTGCAAATATGGCTTGACTCATATACATCTCCATATAGCTGTAGTACAATGACATGATTTTGACAAGACATTGCAGAGCAATAATTCTTATCAAAGGATCAGGAGATTGCGTGGATTCACAAACAACCTGCATTATATAGTTGCGTTCATGTTCAACGTCAAAATGGCGCTTTGTGAATTCGAGAGAGTTAAGAAGAGCATTTGTAGCGGCCAATTTGACTTTACCACTAAGGAAAATAAATAAAAGCGAGCACATACCTAGGTTCTTCCTTCTTCATCCCGTAGATAATGGCTGTCAGAATTTCACTTGATTGATTAGATAGAATTGCTGGATCAATATCCTGGCAGATGTATCCGATGGCTTCTATAGTAGAGTGCTTCAGACTTTCAGTGCTATTTGGATTGGTCACATTATAAACTAGCTTCGTCAGTAGATCAGGCCATCGGTTGGATGGAATTTCGGCACATGCGATGTGAGCGACACATTGAGCAGCAGTACTATGAGCGGTTGTTTCAGTTCCAAGAGCCTCAAGACACTAAAAAGGGTCATATAAACTATGAAAACCATACCCTTGTCTTGATATAATTCGTATATTCAGGAGGCATCTGAAGCCATCGATCATGATAACTGAACCGAACAGCTATATCCTTGGAGTAAATCGCATTTTTTAATTGCAATCCAGCTTGCATACGTGAAATTGGATCGCATTGTGGGTTTGCAAGAATTTCACTAAGATTTTTCAATAGACCCGGCAAATCAACCTTAGCAGCCTCCTCAAGATACTGCTGTGCAGCAACCAACTCGTTGTTAACTAAAAATAAAATTGAAATAGTTTATGACTACCATTCGAGTCTGTTTTTTGAAGGATAGTAAGCAACGTTTCTACGTTCGACATTCTAAATCAATCCCGGGTAGCACCACTACGTACAAATTTCACAGTAACCGCTGATGCTAAAGTAGTTTTTCAAACTGTTGAGGGTTCAAATTTTAATAAAATGGATATTTTCAAAATATATACCTTAAATTACATTTAAAATACTATGGTTTTCTGATACGATAATTTTTTATCCAATTTGGTTTGTTTATTTTGTAATTAAATCACTAGTAAAGACAAATCTGAAGACAGAAATCCTTTCGTTGAAGATTAACAGAACGGTACATTACAAAATCGTTGAATCTTAGAGAAAAATCTGTTGGATTCAATTTTACTTAGTTTATTGCGGAATTTTACTTACCACACACATAGTAAGTGCATATGGGTCGTTAATTTCACAGATTCATTTAGTATGGGTTATATGAAGTTAATACTTAGCTACTTGATATGAATAAAAGGTATTATTTTATCTTGTGTTTTTCTATCTAACCCCACACAATTTTTGACCGATCTAATAAATTGTTGTTCGAGGAATTTGGAAGACATTTATGGTTTTATATTTTGATTTGAACCATCAAATTCTACTTACATTTATACTTGTGTTTTAAATGCAAAGGGCACTTTTCCAAAAGTGTCCGTGTTATTAATTCAATTTGGCTATTTATATTAGCTTCTTACATTATGGATTTTGTTTCAAAAAAAGTAATTCCAATAATTCCCAGAGCCTTCAATTCTATTTGTCGAAAATCTTATTTATTATGCTGCTAAATAAGACTATTAGTGTGTTTGCGAAGTGACTATTGAATGTCTGATTTAATATCTAATTTGCTCATTTCTGTACAAAGTAGTGGTGGACTTTTAATGCGACATGAAATTTAATCCTACTTGACAGTTCAGAGGTTCAAACAGAGGTATGATTCCTAGTTCATTGTGACATTACGTTTTTTAATGTGTTAAGTATCTCTCTATGCACAAACTCGAGTATATATGGGAAACGTTATATTGCGCATAATCAATCTTATTTCCCCTTTCGTCATTTAAATAGGCCTACTAGAGCTCTTGCGATTTGTTATAGAAGTTAATTCATTTTCCATCTAAATAGATACGAATATTGACGACTTCTTGCCTTTTTGATATAGAACTGCCATTCACTGAAATAAAAAGGATTTCTAAAAAATTTCCCATTTAAATTTTGAATCTTTAGAGGAATCTTTGAATTTTTCAGGTATTCCAGTCTCGAATGTTTCAAATAAGTCTCTTTATCTCCCTAATTATCTGCTTGTTTATACATTCAGCTTAATTACCTATCGTTAGTGAGTTAATTAATGAAAGAACAAACGCAAAAGCATTAACTTCTAGGTCTATTATGTTAATGTTTATTTCTTCTATTCGCCTTCCATACTGGCCCTATTTAATAAACAGACTTCAGGAAGTTAAACGCATATTTTTAAAAATTTCGTCTCTTCTATTTATTTGTGTTTGCCCACCCAAAATATTTTCTCATTATTAATAGGCAGGCATATTTGCGTTTCACTTTTTACCGTGAATGAGGGCATTCAAAGTTATTAATTAAAGTTTAAAATCATATGATATCACAGTCCCTGGGTCCCAAACCCATCGAAAAAGCATCTATTTGATGAGGTAATAAGCTATAGTAGACATAACCGGTCAAGATGCTTATGACCAATAAGATCTTGTTAATTGATGGGGTTCTGACAATCGCCAAGTTGCATACATATACTTAAACAGATCCTGGAAGTAGTCTAGAAATTCACAACATCCAAAAACGTTTATCCGAAAATAATTCTTTATATTAATGTGCCAAACGAATAAGCATAAAAATATAAGTTGGATAGAGAAGATAATACACGTAATATCACTTTGGGTAATGTGGAGGATGGTATGTTCTGAGGCCAAAAATTTGTGCATCTTCTACCTATGATAGGGGTTTCTTTGCGCAAAAAGGTCTTCTGAGCTTATTGGAGTTCAATTTTTACTTCGGTTTAGAGACAGTTCCGTAAACCGTCTTTCCACAAGAGTAATTTTGCATTTGCCGTTTTCCCAACTTTCCATTTTATTAATCCGGGTTTAAATTATTCTTATCGTTGCGCCAAATGTACAATTGCAATAAATCATGTTTAAATGATACTCTCATCTCAGAGAGTTGTTGGTTTGTATAATCTACATACTGAATCCTGTACAAGCAGGCCGTGTAAACTCAGTTTTGCGATTAACATTACAATTACTATCTAATTATCTCGGTATACTCCAGACCGTAATAGTTAATTAAACCATTTTTTACCCAAATGAGGGTTATTAGGCAGCTTACACCTGCCCGCACATGTCTTCAGTTGGGAGGGTTAGGGTTAGGGTTAGGGTTAGGGTTAGGGTTAGGG